CCTTATCTTCCTGCAGCACTTCAGCCGAGAAAGAGGTCCCTATCTCTTAGGGTGAACTGCTGCAAGTGGAAGAAGATCCTGGGTGGTGTGGAGTCACTTCTTTACTCACCTCCAATTTCAGTCTCTACCAGATGTTTGCTGAAAAACAAACCACTTCAAGCATGTCTAACACGTCTCCTCTTCTGGATTCAGGATTTCTGGAATTCGAGGCAGAAGGAAAAACCTTCCCGACAGTCTCCCAAACTTCATAGTCAAAGCCAGTATCCAAATATCCTGAAGAGGCAGGGTCTCCACCCACCGAGCTAGCAGGTCTGAACACTGATGTCCAAACTACTTCCCCATACCACCAGCACACTCCGGTTTGCAGCTCTATTCCTGAGCTCTTCTCATAGGACCAGGGAGGTGCAAGGAGCATTTTGCTAATAAATACGTACCATAATGGCTCTTAACCAGAGTGTCAGAATGCTCTGCTGTAACTAGTCTCCCACGGGGGCCTCACGAGGTCAGCCCCTGATCCCAGCAAGTGCACGCAGGAAAGGTCCACAGGGGATTGCTTCTGGCTCACACCCACTCACAGGGAGCACTCTTTCTACTGGCTTCACCTGGATTTGTTTACAGTGCTCTGCGAGATACCACACTAGAAGGGCCAGCAGTCACGCGTCGCTAGTAGTCACTCGCTGACAGGGCTGATAACCGAGTGTCTCCAACACTTTCTCTGTGCAGTGATTTGGAGTCCCTCTTGCCACCCAGGCTGGACACCATTGGCTGGAGAGCCAGTCACTCGGTTCAGCAAGCTCCTCCTCGCCCTCTGCCTCCCGTGGCTGCTAATGACCACCAAGGCTCAACCCACGAGGAGCTAATCCCTTGTGGGAAGAGGGCGTGCAGCGCTACACGATTTTCAGTTGATAAGGGTGCCTCTGACTATACCCCCCAACCGGAGAGGAATGTGGTCTCGAACCCTCCCCGCAGAACACCGATCTAAGCCGCCCAGCTCACCGACCATCCTCCTCGGACCACCAGGTCCGGAGAAAAGAAATGAGGACACACGCCTCCCGCCAAACCAGAGGGGAACAAACCCGGGCGGGGAAAGCAGAGTGCAGGGTCGTGACGACGTTGAAGGACAATGAATCAACAGCGCCGCCAGGTCTGAACCCCGGTTCCGTTCCTCACGCCTTCAGTTTGCCCCGCACCCCTCCCACCTCGGGTTCTCAGCAGGCCCTTCCGCTCTGGCCCCAGGCCCCGTCACTAACACCTCACACCCACTCAAAACTCAGTCGTGCCCCTCGGCCAACCCCAAGGCCATCAGAGTCCCCCATGGTCCTCGGGCCCGACCTCCGCACACGGGCTCAGTCCCCTCGCCGCCCCCAGTCCTGCCTGCAGCGGCTCCCCCCTCCTCAGTCCTCCTCGGGAGCTCGAGATCCCCTTACCCCTCCAGGCAGCGGCCCGACAGCCCCGGCTCGAGTCCTCGGCCCACCTCGGACTGGCTAGACAAGCACGTCGCCGCTCTGGGCCTCCGTTCCGCACCGACCCCCGGGCGCGCCGGCCGCACTCAACTCCGACCAGCGGGGAAGGCCCCAGCCGGGCCGGCACTCACGGCCACGCGCACCCGACAGCGTGTCAGCTTCGCGCGGCCCGCCCCGCACGCTTCTTCCAGTCGCTGTCCCGGCGCCCAGCAGCGCCAAGACGCCGGCCTGCTCACTGGCCCCTACCCCACCCGCGCGGGGAAGCCGCCGCCGCCCCGCGCCCGGTGCCGCAGCAGCCCGGGAACCGAGCCCAAGCCGCGTGACTCGGCCGGACCGTACCATCCGCCCACCTCGCGGAGGGGGCGGACGGCTGTCCGCGCGCACCTCTGCACCGCGAGGGGAACAAGGCCTTGCCAGGTCCCGCGCTCGAAGTGACCAAGCAGCCCCGCAACTCTGAAGTCTGGCGAGGAGCCTGAAACAGCGGCCCGCACCTCGCTATTTCGCCGCCCCTCCTCGGCGCCCCCACCGAGCAGTACGAAATGGTCCAAACCGCCCGGCTGGGGCTGCTGGAAGCAACCATTTCAAGGGGAGGGTGGGAAATGCTTAAATTTAAAAAGTATTTTTTTAAAGAGATTTGAGGTAACTATAGCCAGCCTAGGCTTTTTGGTTCACACAGAAGGGAAAAAGAGAGATAACGCCTTGACGTCATAAAGAGAGCGGTGATTTTTTTGGTTTAACCCTTCGTTTTTATTAAATTGAAGATGGACGGGTGGACCTTGCGGACAGGTGGGCGGGGAAAGACGTGGAACTTGTACCTGCGGTCCTCCCGTGACGTAGGGAGGAGCGTCGCTGGCGCGGGGGTGGCCTGGGCCGGGCCGCGTGTGTGCTGATTGCTGGGTCCTGTGTCTCACTCCTACCTCAGCGGTACCTGGCGCCCTGCCTCAGCAGTACCTCTACGTTTTTAAGAAATATTAATCAGTTATTGAGCAGTGCTTTTGTTTCAGCACCTGGCTCCCTGCCTCAGCAGTACCTCTACGTTTTTAAGAAATATTAATCAATTATTGAGCAATGCTTTTGTTACAGCCTGGGCGCCTGTCATCCAGCGTGTCTACCTGACAGTTAACTTTGAAGCCATCCGTGCATGATGGAACGTGGGTCCTCAGAGCGAAAAGCTAGAGCCGCAGGAACAGGGCTTGGCGGGCGCGCAGGCGCTGTCACCTGGTGTCGGCTGCGACCCCAGGGCGCTACCTCGGCCGTGGGCGACACCGCGGAGTTCTGGGCTGCGGCTCCCGCAGCTTGTCCGCGGCGTGGGGAGAAAAGCCTCAACAGAAGTGGGTGGTTATGTTTTTTAAATCATGAGGATACGCATGGCCTTCATGTCTTTAATTATTCTTACCGATCCAGTTCTTCATACAGGGCAGCACTGACAGTGTATTGGCTAGTAAATCACAAGATAATTTCTGAAGCGAACAACTGCAAAACCCAAGGGTATGCTAACGTGGGATTCTGTCTTTACTTTGCCATCAACATTTCAGATATGTGAATTTTGTTGAGTTTGCAAAATGTTTTGAAAGCCTTAGTGGAAAAGTGCAAGGAATATTTTCAGCCTCCTTGTACCTTTCCAAATCCTAGAAGAAAACATAATTTCCAGTATTTGTCGGAACGTGACTAACTTTGAAAAAAGGACCCAGCAGTAATTCTGAACACAAATCTGATTAACTGACTTCCACACTAATAAGCAAGTAACTTAGAAAACTTTACAAAAATTTTCAGTTACTGCAGCTGTTTATTTAGCGAATTTTTAAAAAAACTAACCAATTGTATATTCCATCACTTCAATCAGGAAGACAGGAAGTTGGTTTTCCTTTTTTTTTGGTAATCTCGCTTTTTCCCCTTTTTCATAGTGCTACGTATTTTTCAAACTAACATTGGTTGATCAGGTGTTAAGCCAAGAAAATTTTTTTCTGTCTTGTAACTTTTATTTCCTGTTAGTGGAGGACACCACCCTGCTCAGGTTACCCTTATTTCCATGACGACAGGCTAAGTTCCCAAGTGAAGGAAGATTATTCCAACCACTGCCATTTTCAATAAAATACAAAGTGGATTCCTTTCAATAAAATACTACAGCTGGATTCCATTTCCATTTATGCTATTGATATCTTTCCCAGCATCACTGGCCTCATCTCTTTTGGAGGTGCTTTTTCAATTTAACCTAATTTCAAGTGTTTAAAAGTAACTACATAAAAACATAGGAAAAAAATCTCTTGGACATAAACATGAGCAACTTCTTCATGAACACTGTAAGGTTGGAGGCACCGGAGGGAGGGGTGAGCACGTTGGACACTGATGACGTGCCAAAGTCCCCGGCTGCTGCCCCTTCCCAACCTGAAAAATGTGCCTTAGGCTAGCCAATCCTGGCGCCCCTGTAAATCTAAGCTCTGCCTCCCCCTACCTTCTTTAAAAACTCGCTGCCTGCCCTGCTGAGCAGGACTTCTCCAGCCTGTATTTACACAGACTGGTGAACCTCGCCCGGGATTGCGCTCAAATAAACTGCCTGGCCCTTTGTTGCCTCTTGTCGCCTGCTTATTTCAGTTAGAATTTATCTTACAAACATCTCTCCCTGGGTAAGGGAAACAAAAGCAAAAATGAACAAGCGGGACTATATCAAGCTGAAAAGCTTCTGTACAGCAAAGGACACCATCAATAGAACAAAAAGGCATCCTACACTGTGGGAGAATATATTCATAAATGACAGATCTGATAAAGGGTTGACATCCAAAATATATAAAGAGCTCACGCACCTCAACATACAAAAAGCAAACAATCCAATTGAAAAATGGGCACAGGATCTGAACAGATACACTTCTCCAAAGAAGAAATTCAGATGGCCAACAGACACGTGAAAAGATGCTCCACCTCACTAGTCATCAGAGAAATGCAAATTAAAACCACAATGAGATATCACCTCACACCAGTAAGGATCACCACCATCCAAAAGATGAACAACATGTTGGCAAGGATGTGGAGAAAGGGGAACCCTCTACACTGCTGGTGGGAATGTAAATTAGTTCAACCATTGTGAAAAGCAGTATGGAGATTCCTCAAAAAACTAAAAATAAAAATACCATTTGACCCAGGAATTCCACTTCTAGGAATTTACCCTAAGAATGCAGCAGCCCAGTTTGAAAAAGACAGATGCACCCCTATATTTATCGCAGCACTATTTACAGTAGCCAAGAAATGGAAGCAACCTAAGTGTCCATCAGTAGATGAATGGATAAAGAAGTGGTACATATACACAATGGAATATTATTCAGCCATAAGAAGAAAACAAATCCTACCATTTGCTACAACATGGATGGAGCTAGAGGGTATTATGCTCAGTGAGATAAGTCAGGTGGAGAAAGACAAGTATCAAATGATTTCACTCATCTGTGGAGTATAAGAACAAAGAAAAAGACTGAAGGAACAAAACAGCAGCAGACTCACAGAACCCAAGAATGGACTAACAGTTACCAAAGGAAAAGGGACTGGGGAGGATGGGTGGGAAGGGAGGGATAAGTGGGAGAAAAGGGGCATAATGATTAGCAGACATAATGTAGTGGGGGCATGCAGAGGGCTGTACAACAGAGAAGACAAGTAGTGATTCTATAGCATCTTACTACGCTGATGGACAGTGACTGTTAATGGAGTATGTGGGGGGGACTTGATGATGGGTGACTCTAAATTAATGATGCTCATGTAATTGTAGATTAATGATACCAAAATAAAATAAAAATAGTAACTACATGCCAATGCCTTTCCCAGTAAATTGTCCTGTAGGTTATTAAACTGAGCTTTCACAGAGTATAAACTTTTTAAGAGCATTTAACAAGAGACAGAAGTCAGGAAATGTTGCTCACATTATCAGTGAGAAAGTGAAGCTGGCAATAACTCCCATTGATTTAACTGCTTGGCATTTATAGCCCTGACATGTTTGCTCACCACTGAAATGGGCTCCATCTGAATGAAAGATATCTTGATGTTTTTCTTTCTTCCTACTACTAAACCAAGAGGCTTAATTGGATAGGTATTGAGAGCTGAGCATCCACACTTACGGAGTGCTTCACGGATACCACTTACCCAGACCATTGAGCCAAGTGAAGTCAGGTCTCATTGTGAAACTTCTCATAGAGGTTTTCAGATGTAGCCTTACAAGTATATGGTCTCTCATAGTTATAGAATACAGTTGGGCTTTGTCTTTTAAGTCAAACCACCATGTCCCTGAATCAGTTTTCAGTTTCAGAGGTATGTCTCATTTGTGAACAATTGGATCTAATATTTTTGGTAACATCTCATTAAGTGCTCTACAACAGATTGCCTGTTATAAAATAATCATCTAGGCTTTACTTTCTTCCAGCAACCAAGACAACATTCTGTTTCCAGCTGTGCTTAACAGTTTGGGGGGTTGGCTGGGTGCTTGCTCAAAGGCAGCCAACAGTGGGTGATATTTCATAGAGTGGCACTTACCTACATCCTCTAATTCAGTTTGAAGTTTTAGGCGATTACAGTCACTTCTGCCTATAGGGCGTCCAGCCAGTTGCAAAGCAAGAACTATTAGTAGTCTAATAATTTTTCTTACAAAAAAAACCCACTAGTGTTAATTTAGCATTCTTTACTATAGCACTTTCAGGAAGCTTTTTAAAACTAACCCTCCTTCCCCAATTAGAATTCAACTGATAGCCTTTTGGTGCTTTAATACTAGCTGCTTGTTAAGTATCAAGTGGTTTTTTAGTCTAATAATAAACTTTAGCAATTCATTATGGATGCAGGCTTATTAAATGCTTTTCCCAATTAACAAAAGTTCTCTGCTCTCAACCTTTGACTTTAGGCAGATAGGATTTTGTCTTTGTTGGCCATCATTAAGTAATTCAACTGTGTAAAAAGGGTAGCCATCAACTGTTTTTCTATTCACAAATATCTGATTTACCCAGTCATTTATTTTCTCTGGCCTTTTTGCAACTGCTCACACTTAGGCATAGATAACGTTTCTTCTCAAATTGGCTACCATTTCAACTTCATCCTGGCAGCTTAGGACTTACAAACCCCAAACTGCATCTGTGAAAAGCAAAGATCAGGAGACAGAATACAACTCAACTATTGGCAGACAGACGAGGGAACTTGAACAAGGTAGGTCTACCAATGAACACCAAGAACTCAGCACACCTAAAACCTAAGACTTAGCTTTCCCCTCTGGCCCAATCATTTGCTATAAAAGTAATTGTCTGTGATTCGATTACACAGGCATTATTCAGTTACTAAGGTAGTTGGTATCTTTCACAGTAATATTCTAGCACTGTTTAGGATTTCCTTTTACTAAACAAAGAAAGTGCAATCCATACAGGGCAGAACAATCCCACTTTATGGCCCATTGATACCATTCTTTGGCTCAGGAAACATCTGCCATTTCAAAAACATACAACCAGATGTTCCTTTAAAGAATACCTTATACCAGTATACCCTAAATTGGAG